ACACGACCGATTGACTTGCCTTTTTTTATACAATAACCTCCTCAATGGTCCAAAACTACTTTGGTTCTAATCTAAAATTCACTACTCGAATCTACCTGATACAAATTTAGTCAGACTATTATATGTGTCAACATATTTAACATTAATTCGACTCAACTAGAACCACCAAAACCAAATTCAATACATTTATTTCATTTCCATATGGACCAACATGGCCTACTTAACCCTAATATGACTCACTTAACCTAATAATATTCTTACATATTTTAACGTAGCCTTATTAAGCTAAATTTGAATTACATTCAGGTTAATCTTGCTGATGGGAGAACATGGTGGAAAGGCAGGTGAGCCAGACTGAGATGAAAAGCCAGATGGGCTTTCGGATAGCGTTGGCGGGCCCAAACAGGAAAGAGGTTTCTCTGGGCCGAAACGTCCAATCGCTACTACTGTGCAAAGCAACTCTGGACTACAGTGCTCCTCCCGCTATAAATTAAACAACCGATGGCCTTCCAGGCCACTTTCTCTCCCCTCTCCCTCTCTCTCTCCCTCTCTCTCTCGTCTAAATTCATCTACAGTTAGCCAAATAATGAAGGTATGATTAATTTCATCTACAGTTAGCCAAATAATGAAGGTATGATTCAGTTTACATTTTATGATTTATAATTTCATATACATTTATCTTTTTTCATAGATACTTAATCATATTCATCTTTATTCATTTTCTTTCTGAATCTTTTACAGCTATTTACGATGAATTTTAATTGCTAAAATGTGTTTTTATTTGTTTATTTATTTTTTCTTATTTTCCTGGTTTAAGATCCTAGACTGGATGCACCGGAAGCTGCAGCCAGCCACCAAGTACTCTCGTGTTTCTCACACGAATGCACCAGGTTCTCCTCTCTCTCTCTCTCTTTCTTCATATTAGTATATCTATATATACTCTTGAGGAATGAGAGGCTATGATACGAGCCCCGGCTATCCCTCACATGCCTATAATTCGAGTACCACACTCTACACTCCGAGGTAATCGAACCCAAAATTAGAGGGGACTTACAACTGACAAGCAAATGTCATTTGTGACAACTAAACTAAGCTAACTCTTATTGCAGGTTTCTGCATCGATAGAAAAAGAGGAAAAAAAAATGAAAACTGAGCTAAGTCAGTTATCATACAAGTTCCAATTATTTAGACAAATCTCAAATCGGATGAGATAGATCGGCAACGTTTTCATTTGATTGGGGGCTCTTTGGAATGACTTCTATTTATTTATTCATTTATTTATAATTTTACGTAAAATAAAACCTTTTTGATAACTTATAATATATTTAGCTGTTCTAAAAAATAATAAAAAAATGTTTTAATATCATATTTATCGGCATGAAGATTATATACTTGAACTCATTCCTGATTTAGTCAACCCAAATTTAAAATAAGTAATTGACGACCTTTGCTCCTTAATTAAGAATTAAATTTTGACTCAAAATTTAAGCTTATGCTTTGCATAGTTTATTGTGGCCTTATTAAAGTCATTATGGCCCCAACGAATCCCTCTAAAATAAATCATTTTGGACTTGTATCTTTCTATAAGTACAATTATAAAATTCAGTGTGTTGGCTCGAAGTTAGACTAAGTGCCCAATTTAGACAATGTAACAAAATTATGACCGTAATGAACCCATCAAAGAATAGTCATTTATGGCTCATATTCATCCGTGAGCCAGCAATTATCACCCACTAGCTCTCATCTCATTGATGGCTCATATTCTTCTTCTCTCCTAGGTGAAAATTTATTTGTAAAAATTAGAAAAATAATTATGAAAATTTTCTATTTCAATATTCTTAAACTAACTATAATTTTGTATAATATAAAAATAATAATTTTTTATATATGTTTTATGTTGAATTGGTCTAATTTATCATTAGTTGTTTCGTTTATTAGAACAATTTTGTATGGTATTAAATTAAAATTTTAAATTAAATATTTTTTATGGGTTTTAATAAATAGAACTAGTTAGTTTCACAATTGAAATTAAACTATTTACATTGAGTGAACAAACTAAAATCAAAACTGAATTATATATAAATCCTATCTGATCTAATGAAAATATATAGAATAAATAATGGCTATTTGTTTTTTTGGCGAGGTTAGAGGATTATATAAGTTTATTTTCAATGGTTATGCGACAAAATGTCTCAAATATTTATTTGATAGGTAATAAGATCAAATGGTGCAGGATAAGATATGCGTGCTCAAGAATCAATATAACGAGTGTGTTTGAAAGGTAAAAATAATTATTATGGAAAGTCATCAATATCCTTCTCTTGTTTTTAACATGTCTTTTTTTATATATTATATATTTTTTAAAATTATTTAAGTAAATTATAAATTAAGTAATTTCATAAAAATTTTTATATTTCATATGGATATCTTCAAAACATATTCATTATATTATAAGTTTTGGTATTTTTTTTAATTTAATATTTAATGTGAAAATAATAATCTAGACTCAAGTATATATATAAAAAAAATTGTGTTCAAAATAGCTATATTTTTATCATTTTTTTTTCATAAATCTAGAAAAAAAAAGCTTTACAAAAATATAATTCAAATTTTAAAATATAATATCATGAATGAAAAAGCATCCGCATCTAGACGAAATCCCGTATTCCCTACCCGCATAAGAATGTTATTTGCGGCAAACAGCCAACCAAAATGCTCCCAAAAAAAGGTCTAGTTGTGCAAATAATTCTCCTCTGTAATCTGTTTTCTTCTCAATGTAGCTTTCGAACATGACGCCGTGGATCGAATCGATCCGGCCCACCACCATGCAGCGGTCGGAACTGAGCCGGACAGCGAAACACCACTCCTCCTCCACGTTAATCTCGCCGGTATCCTCACCATCGGCACTCTCGGAT